CGTGCAGTGTTCGCATGGCAACGGATATTGCTCGCGTCTGCATCGATCGCGTTGGTGTTGCAAGTGCCGCATGTCTTTCTCGCGTCCCCCGTTTGCATTTTCCCGTGTTCGTCAAGAAGTAAGACACAATACAGGCGTGCGGGAACCTACCTCAGACACCAATGCAGCCTTCAGCGACACTATGAGGAACGTGACACAACAATACCTCTTGTCGGGCTTAAACCTTGCACATGACAACCGTCTCTGCATAAACACTGATGGCGGAGCTCGATCTTCCGCCGGCAAGACGAACACGGGAAAATGCCAACGGGGGACGCTAGCAAGACATCCGACACCTGCACCACCAACGCGAGCAATGACCATTGCCACGCTAACACTGCCCTCCCCCTCCGAAGAGGTGACGGTGAGAAACCCTGGTCAGCAGGACGATGACGGAGCTCCAGGACCGCCAATAAAGGAAGAGCGAACCAGAAGCCAGTTCTAACACCTGTAAAGAATGTGAGGTGTGAATAAACACCAACCTCCGACGATACAAGCCTGTACGCTTTCAAAACGTCAGGATATTATAGACACTATTCCCGAGATTGCTTCTTTTTCTCATTCATGTCCGTCTACACGCATTTTTGCTTCAATCAGCAGTCTACGGCACCTGTGATTGGCGGCTGTGTCAGACGCCGACAGATACCTGCAATTACGTCACCGCGAGTGGGCGTGGTGCCCGTGCTGGCGGTGGACGATGCTACACAGTGGCGTGAGACAAACGTCATTCACTACATGCCTATATAATGCGCTGCTGGGCACATTGAACGCATCTTTAGATTGTTTGTGCCTGTGAGGACATCGCTCTGAACATGAACGGCTTCGTAGGAACGTGGAAAGTTAAGGATACGGATGATAATATGACCGCGTATCTTGAACGGATAGGGATGAAAATTCCCCAGCAGAAGTCGGATGGAAAGTGCAACTGCATGATCACACTAGCATGCGACGGCAATGGCTACGTCATACACACAAAATACGGCTCCTGCACACATGATATAAAGTTCAAGCTAAGGGAGGAGTTAAACATCACTACCTTGGACGGCCGAAAAGTCAAGGCAAGTCTTTCCGCACCATAATGAATATCTCAATATACTGCTGATAAAACAGTAGCTGCAAAAGACCATGCAGCTTTCATGATGACATTTGACTTGGTGCTTTAGCGTATATTTAGTAACACTGTTTTGATTCATTCAGTTTATTGAATTCTGTAAAAGCGTTTTAGTTGTTTAATCGTCCTTTTAGTTAGGTTTTTTAAGAGAAATGGCCATTGATTTTGGGGAAATCGGGAGTAGTCTCATATCGAAAGAATTTGTTTATGTTATTACGAAAGAGAGAACCAAACCGCACGTTAATGTTGATTATACCATGAAGGAACTCTAAAATAAGTAAAATAGGTAAGGATGCTACTCCTTCCTGAATTGGAAAATTTAGTTGTAAATTGTTCAGATGCAAGAAAAGTCAAGTTAAAGGATTCACATTTATTTGCAGTATCATTGTAGATTTGTATTCTAAAAATTATGTTTAGCACTCCTGTGAAGTTTTCATCTGACCTTGAGAAATTTACTCTAGCCTTCCGCGAGCAAAATAGTCATGATATAAATTTAGGTTCCTATGAAAGCACAAGCCTGCACAGATTTACCAAGAAACTTACCGTGATTTATATTTATAAAAGTGCTTCAATTCTATTAAAGCTGAATGCGTTTAGTGTACTAGAAGGAAGGATAGATAAACAGTTAACGTGGCATGCCTACTGGCACTCACTTAAGGTAAATCCGACCGTTTCAACTGTCGACAATTGAACTAGATCCCCTCACTCCCTTCATCGAAGCTGACTGCCGCCTTGCGAAATGCTTTGGCCAAACCGAGTCTCAGCACGGTATCTGGGGGTGGAGAGGTCATAGCACTGCCAATAGTGAAGAATATGCGAGTTCCAGGAATCAGTTCAGAAGAAGAGGATACGATCACTGGAACAAGGGTTGCATTTTCCTGACGATTCGGATTCCGTCGGAATCCTCAATCATAAGTAATGGTAGCACATTCATAGCCATGTGCAGATAGGGTTGAAACATGCACAGATAGCACGGTATTTAATGTTCATAGGGATCAACAGCGTGCGTACGATAATTATCCACTTCTGTCGCCGCTGCTTGGGTCTTATTTGGTGTGGTACTGGCTGGAGAGTTCGCGGTCGACTCACTAATTGCCATAGTTGCCTTCTCAGCGTCGGATGCGGGCATGATAACTGCGCGACAATTATGGCCGCTGTCGTCAGAGTTGTCGCTGCGCCCGGCCCTTCCCTCGTGACTGATTCGCTTGCTCAGGAAACTTCTCAGTACACCGTATGGGAACGCAAAATCATTGCGCTAGTTGATGGACTGGGGGCCTGGGAACCATGACTCCAGCAGCTCGCGGCTCACG